AAATAGAGAGAGACAATAAGAAACTAAAACGAGATGAGAGAAGGAGAGAGAGGGGATAGGAAAAGGCAACTAAGAGAGAGGGAGAGAGGAAGAAGGGAGAGAGAGAGAAAGGACTATAGAAGGGGAGGGCGAGCAAGAGAGGAGATAGTAAAATGAGATTAATAAAGAGAGAGAGGAAAGACGGAGACAACACGAGAGGGGAATGAGAAGAGAGTGGATTTAAGGAGGCAAAGAGCAAGAAGAAATAATGAGAGACAAAGAAGGGTGAAATAAATGAGAAGAGAGAGCGATAGAGAGAGAGAGAGAGGACTATAGAAGGAGAGAGCGGGAGAGAGGAGAAAAAGCATACCAAAACTGATCCAATTTTAAAATGTCAAAATAAGACCAATGTGTGGCCCCATCGGTCAATCGACTTTCATCAAAGGAGCCAATCAGCTACAGTCGCTGTTCAGGTATTCTGACAGCAGAACACCCGGTATACCCATGTATGTATGTATGTATGTTAGAGAAAGGACTATAGATGGAGAGAAATGAGATAGGGAAAGGAGACTAAGGGAGGGGAGAGGATAGAATGATGACAGTGAGAGAGAAGAAATACTATATTTATATAGAAGGACAGAGAGAAAAAGAGAGACGAGATAGGAGACTAAGACTGAGAGGGAAAAAGAGGGAGAGAAGGAGGGAGAATAAAAAGAGAGACATAAAGAAAGACCGAAATAAAGAGAGAAAATTGGGAAGAGGCAAGAAGAGAAAGAGGGAGAGAGATGAAAAGAAGAGAGTAGGGAAAGAGAGAAGGAGATGGAGAACCGATGGGAAAAGGAAACTGAGAGAAAGCAGAAAGAGAAGGGAGAGAGAGAAGACAAGAAACTGAGACTGAGAAAAAGAGCAGAGAGAGAGAGGAAATAAGAGAAAGACAATATGAGTGACAATGTGGGAAGGTAGGAGAGCAGAGAGAGAGAGGGAGAGAGAGAGAGAGAGGGAGAGAGAGGGAGAGAGAGGGAGGAAATAAGAGAAAGACAATAGGAGTGACAATGTGGGATGGTAGAAGAGCAGAGAGAGAGGGAGAGAGCGAGAGAGAGAGGCTGATAGAGAGGGAGAGGGAGAGATGAGAGAGAGAGAGAGAGAGTGAGAGAGTTAGAGGAAATAAGATAATGACAATAAGAGAGTGACAATGTGGGAAGATAGGAGAGCAGAGGGAGAGGGAGAGAAAGAAAGAAAGAGAGAGAGAGAATATTTTAACTGACTGTAATAATGTAGATTGGATCATGTCGATTTTATTTAATTTCTGTCTGGTATCAATTAATACAAAGAAATGTAACCAGCAGTCAGGCAAACAGTCCAGTTTAACACCGGTTGGGGTCTTCCACCATGTTTATTAAATTTACTGGCTTAGCCAATGTGCCAAAAACTGTGGCTCTTGCCCTTAGTGTTTCTTGAACCTTATTGTTGTCATCAGACAGACACGTCTTCTCTTCTAGACCAATTGGACTAGTTCCTGAAGTTTTCACTGATTTTAATTTAATTCTGTCACCCTACACCTAGACTATGAATTAATAGCTGATAGATGCAACTACAGGTCCAGGGCAATAGCAAGAATCTATCTATCTATCTATCTATCTATCTATCTATCTATCTATCTATCTATCTATCTATCTATCTATCTATTAGACATGTGCACTGCCAAAAAATTTGTTTAGTTTAGTTTCGTTTTAAATTCGGATTTGTGTTATTTCGTTTTTCGGGATTCGGGTGTGAAAGTCAATTCGGAATTCGGATTCGGACGAAATTCGGTAGCGGTAGTTCGAACGTTCGTTTCGTTTTCTGTTCTTATTCGTTTCTTATTCGTTTCTTATTCGTTTCGTTCGTTCGTTTGCAGCAAAGTGACATTTGAGGGGGGAAAAATATTTTTCTCCTTCTCTAATGTCACTTTGCTCCAACGAACGAAACGAATAAGAAACGAATAAGAAACGAATAAGAAACGAATAAGAACAGAAAACAAAACGAACGTTCAAACTACCGCTACCGAATTTCGGAAATGGAAATTCGGATTCGTTTGCAATCGTTATGTCTGTAATTCGGAATTCGGATACATCCGAATGTCCGAATTTCCGAAAATTCGTCCGAATTTCGATTCAGAATGAAACGAATCCCACATGTTTACTATCTATCTATCCTCTGTTGTGTTTTCTGGGGCTCCCTGTAATACACATTATTTTCTATCAGACTAACTATAACTTGCTTGATTGAGACTTCGCTTTTCTATCTTGCTGCACAAACTACCAGTATATAGAACCGATTCTGGACGAAATGCTTCTTCTTTAAACTGGCCAGATACGTTACAATCCAAATGTACAATTTCCTCTAGATCTACCAGAAGCTATGTTGTGCAAGGGCCTATCTGACTGTATATAAAGTGAATGGATTGTTTTGTCAGATGCTGTGATTGCAGTATTGAACTGGTAGCAGGTAGTCATATAAGGTCCACCATGTGTCACTGACTGAGGGTCCCATTCTGACTAATGTCTGCATGGTGAAGTATCTCTACTCAGGGCCACCAGCCCAACATATCCTATTGGTACTGGCCTGGGGAGGCTTTCATCTTTACTTCTGAGCTTTGACACCTCCTCCTGCAATGTGTGCACATCTCCATTGGTCATGAAAGTGCACACATGGCAATGTAGAGGCATACCACAGATCCAAAGTCATTGTCTGGATAATACATGTGTCTGGGACCCTGAGCTGCATTTCACAAGACTTAAAGGAAACTTTTCTCTCTGGCTTTAATATTTTCTGAATAACTGACCTGGAATAGTTATGTGGCAAGTGAAGTCAGTTGCAACCGCTGCTTCCCATTTGCTTGATCGGAGGTTTTCCTTTAACATATGCCCTACAGGGCATAATTTGGTGTGTTGTGTTTTAGTCAACTTAATTTAAAGTATTGCATATCAATCTTCAGGATTTTTTCATTTTCAGCCAACACGGAGAGCTCTAGACTTCTTTTATATTTTTAAAGGCTATCCTTATGTGGTTTACCAAAAGAAATGTCTAATGTTTACAGAGCTCAGTAGCTCAAGTTGAAATAGACCCTATTAAATGACTCAGAATAGTCACTCCTCCCCCTGTCTCCTTCACTCTGGAATTGGCCCAGAGAAAGTCCAGTTACTGAGCCCACAGGAGCTTCTTCTGGCCTAGCCGTGGATTGGCTGACAGGAGTAGAAAGTTCGGCGCCATTACTCTAGTTATACAGAGGCTGGAGTGGCAAGACATTGCTGGAGGGGGCTGTGCTCTATCATCCAGCTTTCCCTTCTGGCCACCAAGTGGGCATGTGTGGCCAGATTGAGACAGGGAATCATTGCCTGCAGCTAGGAGGCATGCATTATAGGTA